ATTGCCTTTAGGCTTTTAAGATAAGTTTTTCCTTTTATAATTAGATTTACTTATTAATATTTTAAATACGTAGCATTGTAAATATTGTAAATACATATATATAATTTATGCATATATTCCTGTTGTAAAGCGAATTGGACATGCTCATGGATATGAGCGCTATATAAATAAACTTTATTATTATTATAACAGAAAAACCTTTAGAAATAAGAAATAATGAAGAATTATTGAAAAGTCCGATAGCCGCTCGATACAAAGAAATGTCAACCCTCATCTAAAACATAGTCATGACTCCGCACAGCAACAGAAAAATATAATTAAGATTAAACTTCGGACAAAAACTGCCCTCAAGAACATATATAGTGCATATGATAAATATTGCTACAACGAAAAAAATTACTATAAGAAAAAAGTATTAGATATAGCGATAAGTTAAGTTCAATACTTAATAACATTAATTTCGAGTAATGATGAATATGATCTCGAAAGCATTTATAGTACAAATAATAAGTAATACTATAGCGAAAAGATTACTATAAAATAATAGTAGTGAATATAGTGATAAGTAAAGTTCAAAACTTAATAACATTACTTACGAGTAGTGATAGTCTATAATRACGAGATATTTAGACGTTATTTAGACTCCGCTGTCAACAACGTTATAAAAAATTWAAAAAAACAAATTCAGGGGCTGAATATAGCTCAAACGTGTATAGATCGTCAAACTTACGAACGCGCAGTGTTTTTTCCATCATTATTCTTCTTGACCAGAATCTTTCCGTCTGTTACCCACATCGACTTCACGGTTGCATTACAATTCTTTCGTATAAAGTTGAAAAGTTTAGCATTCTCTTTAGTCAGGTCTTCGTTTATGTATATTTGAGATCCTTTCAATGCACTTTTCCTCTTAGAAATCATTATTTTCGTGTCGTAAGACTTAAACTTTACAATTATTGGCCTTGCCTTGTCTGATTTTTTAGGACCGACGCGATGGGCTCGATCAATTTCTTTAACATCAATATCATCAATATCGAGAGTATCTTTGCATAGTGATATTACTTTCTCTCGACAGTCCTCATCATCCTCCTCGTTTAATCCTACAAATCTCAGGTTGTATTTCCCGACGTATTGTTCATTATCGTTAGCATGAGATTTCGCCTCAGCAAGCTGTGTTTCTAACATAGACATTTTTCTCAGAAGTGATCCAGTAGCTTTCTGAACAGCCTCCTCGACTACATTTTTTATGATTGACTTGAATTAGGTGGATTTCAAGAAGGCATTGAGAACATCTCTCATCTCTCATGTCGTTACACTCAGCCATTCTTTCGCTTGATACGTATATTCTCTTTAAAATTTATAATTTGTCATACATAGACTAAAGTCAAAGTCAGTTAATCATCTTGATATGAAAGCTAAAGCAAGATAAAGAATTAGAGAAATCTTTAAGTTGGAGAGCCGAGAAAACACGTCTGCACTCCACGGAGTGAAACGAAAATATATAATAATGTTTAATAAGATTAATTATCAATTCCTTCTGTATACCAGTCCTTCGCTGGTTTCTAAAGTGGCCAAATAGTCTCTAGTTGATAGCACCTGACGGATAGTGTTTGCCTGTCGACATTGGAGATCGATATATATATTCTTTTTCTATTAACTTACTTCTGCCTTTGATTACCCCTTCCGTGTTGCCTTACCTTATTTACAGCCATATAACTCCACCCTTATCGTGCAATGTCTGAACCATGTCTTTGGTCGTATCCTGATGAACCTCGCAATGATAGCAGGATTCACATCGTTCTTAACAACAGTGTTCCTGTCACTGTTTCCTGTGAAGTTCTTCCCTTTCTCGTAGTCTTCATACGTGCTGCTATCTACAATATACTGCAGGCCGTAGCTTGTCATCCATTCGTCACGCAATGGGCTCCCTTGGGTTGCAACCCCTGTCACCTGTTTGACGAATACAAGTTTTTTAGTTTCAACTAATTTGTCACCCTCTCATTATCATTAATTTATCATTATTAATAATAATATTATTATCATCATTATTATCATTATTATTATTATTATCATCATCATCATCATTATTATTATTATTATTATTATT